GTACATCTGTAACTCGAAAGTTGAAAATATTTGTTAATTAAGTCCTGCCATGAGATCAGAAAATGATTAACCTGGTAAGGCAAACAGCTATTTTAGGAGAGTGCTTCTATCCATGGAGTATAATATAGAGAAACACAAGTCTTCCCTAAGAGTGATTAGTTCTGAGAACATCATCATGTTCGTCTCAGTTGAACTGCCATATTCATCTTAGAAAGTTTTCCTGTCGTGCAGATTTAAAAGACCTTTATCCCAGGGTGGGGGGCAGGGGGTAGGGGCTACTCTACACACTTTTATATGGGGAGGCTCGAAGTCCAAGCCCACACTCTTGTATACCATTTTAATTGACAGAAAAGGGATCCCTTTCGTATAGCTTTAATTGAGACAAGGTACCCCTTTCTTAACCGGCCCGTATTATAAGGGAAATCTTCTTGTCATTTTCATACAGCTTAAAGTGAGTCTGTTTGAAATATTCTAGTTAAAGAGACAGATTTCCCTACCCTTTCATATACTTCAACTTGTGAATTATAAAAATAGGTACTCAAAGGGTACGTGTGGGATACCTCATTTGCATTAACGGACATTAGGCGATGACAGGTATTCCACACAAAAAGGTACCCCTTTCGGGCAGAGCCTCCCCATATCGGCCATTATAGTAAGTGCTATACCTCACCCNGGATATGGTGATGTCTAATAGTAATGTGGAATATCTGTATTATTCAATCGAGGCCACTTTTGAGATAGCACATTTTGATGTCATCTGTACATCTGTAACTCGAAAGTTGAAAATATTTGTCAATTAAGTCCTGCCATGAGATCAGAAAATGATTAAGCTGGTAAGGCAAACAGCTATTTTAGGAGAGTGCTTCTATCCATGGAGTATAATATAGAGAAACACAAGTCTTCCCTAAAGAGTGATTAGTTCTGAGAACATCATCACGTTTGTCTCAGTTGAACTGCTGCATTCATCTTAGAAAGTTTTCCTGTTGTGCAGATTTAAAAGGCCTTTATCCCGGGGTGGTGGGTAGGGGCTACTCTACACAGTTTTATATGGGGAGGCTCGAAGTCCAAGCCCACACTCTTTTGTATACCATTTTAATTGACAGAAAAGGGATCCCTTTTGTATAGCTTTAATTGAAACAGGGTGCCCCTTTCACAAGCTTTCTTAACCGGCCCGTATTATGAAAGGAAATCTTCTTGTCATTTTCATACAGCTTAAAGTGAGTCAGTTTGAAATATTCTACTTAAAGAGACAGATTTCCCCACCCTTTCATATACTTCAACTTGTGAATTATAAAAATAGGTACTCAAAGGGTACATGTGTGGGATACCTCATTTGCATTAACGGACATTAGCCGATGACAGGTATCCCACACAAAAAGGTACCCCTTTCGGGCAGAGCCTCCTCATATCAGCCATTATAGTAAGTGCTATACCTCACCCCGGACGCCTTTTAACATTCCTAACAGAGAATTGTCTATAATCAAGGTCTATAAGAAGTTTCAATCGATTACCTTCTCCGCCTCCGGTACTTGGTTGTGTGATAGTGGGGGGAAGGCATGCGAATGAACCAAGTAATTTGACTGTCGCACGCAAAAGAGTAAAGATGTAATAATCATCCTAACTAGCAGAAATAGTTTTCTTTTGTAGGACCAGGACTCATGAAAGAAGAATAACTCTTAATTTAGTACTTTCAACTCTTCAATGGTAGTTGCTCAAANCTATAAGAAGTTTCAATCGATTACCTTCTCCGCCACCCCCACCCCGCCCCCCCGCCCCCCTACCTGGCCCCACACACACAAGCCAAAAAACAAATTGCATATACAAGAACCATATAAGAGTCCAACAGCCGAGAACATTAACCCTCCGGAGGGTTCATCTGCATAAATGAGGACGTTTGGGTCGACCCTTTCGAATCCCCCAAAAAGTCCCCAGACCATCGGCCGTGGAGCGTCGAAGTACTCAGTGGGAGACTGGTACCAAGAAGGTTGGAACGCCTGTCTGAAAGTCAACTCGGGCTGTTGATGAGAAGTTCGCAGATGCAACCACAAGAAAACTGGAAAGAATTTGTAGAAGGTATTCGTTTAAACTTCATTGTTTTGCTGTATGTAATTTAACTCGAAATTTCTCTTCAATGATGTGAAAACCAAACGTTTAGATAAGCGTATTTCGCCAATTGCGAGTTCTTGTAGTTTCTGTCTTGTAGTAATTTTGTTAGTAAGTCAGTTCACTTACAACGTCTAGCTCACTTGCTGGTGGGACACATTCTTGATGGTCTGATCGTCTTGACTAAACGGGGGAACTCAATCTACTCATGCGGCAACCTTAAGGATCTTCATCAGGTAATTAAGTTAAGCTAATTTTATCATAAGCTCAAACATGATAAGCGAATTCAAAGCTTATTATATAATTATATTAAAACGTTTATATTGTATTACACCATGGCTAATTCACCCAATCAAATTGTAAATCATTTTACTGTGTATTATATTGTTCTGTTATCGTTGTAAAACAATTCTTAAGTTTCTTAAGTTTCTTTTTCTTTTCCTTTCTTTTCTCATTGAAAATTTGTAGTTATACTTTAGTTTGTAGGTCCACATCAGCTTTTTAGCTGCCTTTTATTATATGGCTCTGTCTGTCATATTCAAGGAAGGGGGGAGTTGGGTGGAGTGCTCTTCGAAAAAAAATTAATACGGTCAATCTGTAATGGGGTTTAATAAATGCAACAATAACAAATTTGGCAAATCTATGTCAGGGACTTTCTTTCACTTTTCCTTGACAGAGCAGTTAATAAGTTGTATAAAGAATCTTGTATTTTGTATATAATTTATTGTTCAGAGTACATGCGGTTTATTTCTTTTTACAGAAATTCTACTCCCAGTTTCTTGTTATCTTTAATACGACTTCTGAAGAGCAAGGTAATCATACCTGATAAATGTTGATAGTTTATAAAGTATTTCATTAATTTGTTAATTTATAAATATTTAAAATTTTCTGTGTGGTATTCTGTTTCTTCTCAAAGAGACCATACATTCTGTAAGTTTTTTATAATGTGAAACATCCCATGATGGAAACCCAAGTTCTGTATCCCATTTCTTGCTGTCAACAACCTTTCCTCACAGTTAATTAAATTGTCAAAAAGAATAGCCTGCATCATCTTCACTCTGCAAAGGATTTGAAGACAAGTAAGGAGCTTTACGCCACAGAGATTAAGAGTGAGAAGAAAATGATCTAGGATCTTGTAAAAAATTTAACAGATAAGTGTTGTAACTTTAGCTAACTTCTCCACGGAAAATTTGTTTGTCTCTCTTCAATTTCCACAGAATCTGCACTATGCCAAAAGGGATTTGTTCTGAAGACTACCAAAGATGATCAGGAAATTAAGTACATTATTTACAGCAAGAACTTTTGCAGGTACATGAACATGTAAGCATATTTTAAGCATCACATAGCCCTAGCCAAGTTCTAGCCCTACTGGTCTCTTGCATACATTAAATCCGCTTATCTAAAACAAAGGTATGGCAGAGGTAAAGAAGAGGAGGGACGCAGTGGCTGTTACAATATCATGCTTCAATAATTTGGTGATTGGCGTTATCTTAAAAGAAAGCAGTTTCATCCTAAATGCAGACTTACAAAATAGATACAAGCATCTTCTGGTCCCTTATGTATGAG